AGGTTTGTCCATTTTTATAGAATCTACCCGTACAAGGAATGAAATGTTAAATACATTCATTGAAGTTGAAATACTGACTGGAAGTGATGTGTCTGTGTGTGTGTAAGTGGTTGACTGAAAGGAGGAAGGAATGCCTATCACAGGTAATGTCGGTGCTCGTGTCTGTTATAAGTTTTGCTTTAAACAGTTCAAATTGTACCCCTTTTTCTTCTCACGACTGTGGAATCTCCAGTCCTATGGTTGGCGTGCAGCAGAGACCATTTCTGACTGCATCACTACAGATCCATGGCGGGCATTTTGCCAAGCTTTGAGTTCCTCCCTGCTTGGCACCTGCACCAGAGAAAGTGGAAAGTGCCATTGATCTCGTTAGTCCGTTGCAAGTCGTATAAACTCTGGCCCAAACGCAGAATCATTTATTGAAGGGCGAGAGCACAAGTATTTCCTTAGACACAAGATTTCGCATCCATTGCCATACAGCCACATACATAGCTGAGTTCTATCCAACTGGTGGAGAGGTGGAAGGGATACAGCGTGTTCACCTCATTGACATCGACATTTAGGCACTGCAGACATCTGCGCAGCAAAACTTCCTAGATGGTTTACTGCTGCTGCTGCCGCTTCAGTTGCTAATAGCAAGTGTGCAATGAATGAAACTGAAGTGGTTGGCGAGGGTGGACGTCAACTACATTCCCTCTGTTGGGCGTATACACTGCTTCTCCTATCTGCGGCGTGAGTGGCCGCATGCATAAGAGTATGTGTCAGCGTAGGCCCACAGGTAGCCTGCAATCAGACAAAGGCAAGTGAGTGATTAATCGCAGAGAAATGCTACGCCGTGGCAAAGTTGGGAGGTGTCAAGACGGTTCACATTAGTATGCAGATGTCATCATCGGCAGACCAAGTAACGTTAAATAGTACCAATCATTGTGACGACGGCCGTCATAATCGTTGTAGGTGGTTTTGGTATCGGTGAAGGCAAAGTAGCATATCCACCTCCCAATCTTTGAAAAATATTGAATTCCCACCAAAGTTGTTGACATTTTAGTCGCCACCAAACACATAGTAACATTTTTGGGGGAAAGACACTCTTACAGAAAACACCAGCACCCTAAGTATTTGAGCAAACTTACATAATTTCCTACAAAAACAGGGACTGTTGCCCCGTCAAATCTCGTTTGTAGTCACATGTGCAAAAGATTGCCAAATATTTAACAGCCTTTTGCGATGAAAAGAAGTTCACACCTGCAAAAGAGTAATTCAAAGCAGTCGTTAAATTGTCACCAGACTTAGTTGACAAATAAGCACGAGCAGTGGTAAGCGTGACAGCGAGAACAGCAAGAACAATGTGGAATGTTAGAAGCATCCCATTTAATGATTGCTTCCGACCACGCATGGAGTACTTCAGGTAAACGCATCTAAGTGCAAATAGCTTCTGTCCATAACTGATCCACATCTAGCTTGTCAAAGCAGAGTATTATGAGGGCGGGATTGGCCATGGTGATGTAGCACGGCTGATGATGTGTCATACAAAACTGCCATAAAATTGCAGTGGTGCAGCTTTCGACTGTTTGAGTAGCCCGAATAATTGATAGTTTGACAAGTCTACACTAGAGTTCCTCCAATTTGATGGTAGCGTTGAGGAGGGTGTTCATATCCAGTGACTAGGATTACAACAGAACTTCATCAAACACTTCCATTCAACTAAAAGTTATTCATCAGGTTGGGTAATTTGGATACTCTTTTGGTCACTTTACCCCTTCTGTAACAAACGCTGTCAGCTTCCATGGCCGGAGTTGTCAGCGATCAGTGTCTAAAGTGGGTACAGGTTTCTCGCCGTATTGGGACACTCGTGACCCCTCAGTTATGTAGATACCAATGAGACAAACCTTTTTTCTATTTAAATGCTCCAGACCAATATTGGGTCTGGGTTTTGTGACCTGCATGTAAAAGCAGCCACTCAGCCCAGCTCAATCGTACACAATCCGAATGGAATTATGAATGCGTGGATTTGTGAAACACACCTACAACTTGTCCTACCACAAACGCGATGGCGCAATCAGGGCTGAGGTTGAAGATAGTCAAATGGGTTAATGCAAGCGGTAGCTTCAGGCGTGACAGGCATCTACCCTATCCATCCCACTCTCCCTCTTTCTCTTATTTGCTTCGCAGCCAATCAGCCAAATAGTGCATACAATTTTGCAGGCCGCATCCTAACTTGAAAAGGAACTAATGAATGGGACAATACTTTTTCCATCAGACAATTAGTATCCATAAAGTCCTAGTATAAGTACAGAAAATCACTACATAACCAGGGCTAAAATTCTAAGAGTTTGCAAAAATATATCAATACCTAGACAAGTTACTTAAGTGTATTTCCAAAATGATGGCAGATCTTGTTTATATGAATGGAGAATATATAAACGACGACCTAATAGCTTATATCGACACGAATATTGGGCATCTTGTCATTCGTTGTGCTGCCGTTATGGGAAGCATGTGTCAAAATTTACTTCTCAACAGTGGATATAAGATCCCGCAACTTGGTTTAGGAACCCTTGACGTAAAAGGATTCGTTTTCGTCAATTGTATGTTGATTATAGGCATCAAAAGAAGTCGTCTACGAAGCGGTAAAAGTTGCCATCAGCGCTGGTTACCGCCACATTGACGGAGCCGTTTTGTATGAGAATGAAAAGGAAGTCGGTACTGCAATAGCGGAATCCATGAAGGAGCACAACCTTAAGCGTGAAGACATCTATTTGGTTTCGAAGGTACTCCCACATTGTTGAGACTTGCTAATCTGGAAGTAGCTTTGGTGTGATAAACATGCACCCGAGGATGTCCGCGCTTCGTGCGAAATATCGGTTAAGAACTTTGGCCTTGAATACTTGGATCTGTACTTGATACACTTTCCTGTGTCCTTCCAAATGAAGGAGGGTGGTGGGTTCAAAATCACTGGTTCTAATGTAATCACATTTGAATATCATAAGCTTGAGGATACATGGAAGGTGGGCTTGCCAAAAAAAACAAATACTTACCTTATGTCTAGGCTATGGAGGAATTAGTAACAGCTGGGCTAGTCAAATCGATTGGAGTGTCTAATTTCAACAAACGACAGCTGGAACGTATTCTAGCAGTGTGCACAATTCCACCGGCAGTGAATCAGATCGAAGTCAATCCCCACTGTCTTAACACGAAGTTGATTGAATTTTGTCATTCCAAGAACATTTTGGTTGAGGGCTATGCACCCATTGGTTCTCCTGGTTTCATACAGTATGTCTGTGCATATCTACA